GTGGTGGTTGAAAGTTTCTTCAGATTCCATGATTAAAGTAAATGATCTAAATGTATTTCGGTATTTTTACATGCTAGTAGGTGCAGAAGGCCCCTACTTGCTCATATCTATCAGCTGATAACCACTACTAATTCCCATTCAATCAAGTGATTCAATTATTCATTTTCTTTTCAGCTTAGTTCCTTTATTAATCCGGGGTCGCCACAGCGGAATGAACCGCCAACTTATCCAGCATATGTTCTACGCAGAGGATGCCCTTCCAGCTGCAACCCATCTCTGGGAAACATCCATACAAACTCATTCACACTTATACACAACGGACAATTTAGCCTTTACCCAACTCACCTGTACCACATGTCTTTGCACTGTGTGGGAATTCCGAGCACCAGGAGGAAACCCACGCGAATGCAGAGAGAACATGCAAACTCCTCACAGAAACAACAACTGACCCAGCCGAGGCTCGAACCAGCGACCTTCTTGCTGTGATGCGATAGCACTGCCTTCTGTGCCACTGCTTCACCGTGGTTCAATTAAAAAAATTAGCTTTGATGTGGCAAAGCTACTTTCAACATGTAGCTTTTAGCTTAGCTTGCTACATTTCCCAGAGGGTAGCTTTTAGTGTCAAGCTACATTTTAAGTAGAGTAACTAATAGCTTAGCTCTTTCGATTTTTCAAGTAGCTTGCCCAACACTCCGTTTTGCCCGTATTAAATGTGCACTCTGACCTGACATGGAAGACATGGGCAAACAAAGACATTTTTACAGGGTATTCTGGCACACAAAAGTGTTCTTGGAGCTTCATTTGATTACAGTTGAACTACTTATGCCACATGGAATGCTTTGACAAAGTCTCTGGTTCCTTTTTTGAACATTTTGGAATCATTGCTGTCTACGTAGGATGAGAGAGCTCTAGGATTCCATCTTAAATATTTTAAATTGTGCTCTGAGGACAAACAATGGTCTCAGAGGATTAGAATGACATGAGGCCAAATTTTTAATAACAGAATTAAAATTTTTGGTTCAGCAACATTATAACATTTGTTAATTTTCCTTCAGCCACAGCGGAATGAACAATCAACTATCCTGCCATATATTTTACACAGCGGATGCCCTTCCAGCCGCAACCCAGTACTGGAAAACACCTATACACTCTCACATTCACAACTGGAACACCCGAAGGAAACGCACACCAACACAGCGAGAACATGCAAACTCCACACAGACACGCCAACTGGCCCAGCCGGTACTTGAACCAGCGACCTTCTTGCTGTGAGGCGAAAGTTCTAACCACTGAGCCACCGTGCCACCCTAACATTATATCAATAGTTTCTATACTGTATATACTATTATTATATACTAATGCAATATACATACATGCTTTGCTGACCATGACAGTGGTCTGAATCTGTTTGTTCCCTCTCTTTGCACTGCACGAATAGTTTCCAAAGTCTTCCTCTTGTAAACGGGGAAAGAAAAGTGAGCCATTGGCCATTTGCTGGGACCTCCTGTCCAGACCCCTAGTGTTTTTCTCCCATTTCACAGGTACAGGAAACTTCAGGACAGAGTCAAACGCCGCACAGTGCAGCATCAGAGAGCTGTTTAAAATCCCAACGCCATCTTCGGGTAAGATCGCAAACACTGAGCAAAAGAGAAAAGCATGAATAGAAAAAAATGAACATAAAAGGATGAAGAAAACATGTAATAAGATGATTTTTCAGGCATAAAGTAAATGCAATAATACGTTGTAAATACACCAAGCAGGAAGTGTGTTTTATTTCCTTAAAGGCACAATATGTAAGATTTCCTCTAAACCACTAAAACAGTGTTACAGAGATTTTACTGATTTATGTAATTACAATTTGTTTTGAAGAATATTAATATCCAGAGAAATAAGCCATTTTAACTAGTGACACAGACTGTATCCCAGTAGCGTAGATTTAACATTAAATGGATGGGACAGGTCCTCACCAAAATCCGTCAACTAATGAAATGTCCCCATCAATAATTTAATAGTGTATATGCAGAAAAATGCGAAAGGACTTTTATTTTGACAGTAACCTCAGTTAAGCGCTTCCTGTGAACTGAATGCCATTACAAAATCTCCGTGTTTAAGGTCTGTTTTCTTTATAAATCAGCAATCTCCACTGGCTGAGTGATGTCTGATATAAAGTAGGTCTCAGATTGTACAGGAAGCAAATTAAATTACTGAATATTTATTTTACCCCAGTATATTCAATGGAGCTTCTGTGCTAGCCTGCCGATCCTGACGGGCGCGTGCGAGTAAACGGCTTTTTGTCTCATTTTATGCTTCTAAATCAGGGGTGTCTAAACTTGGTCCTGGAGGGGCCGGTGTCCTGCAGATTTTACCTCCAACTTGCCTCAACACACCTGCAAGGATGTTTCTAGAAAGCCTACTAGGAGCCTGATTAGCTAGCCCAGGTGTGCCTGATTGGGGTTGGAACAAAACTTTGCAGGTTCATCAATGTGCAGCCGACAAAACAGCCACAAATGCGTGATGCTGTCATGTCAATAGGGACCAAAATTTCTTGACCAAAATATTTGTAGTACCTTGTTGAATCTACTTCACGAAGGATTAAGGCAGTTCTGAAGGCAAAACGGGGTCCAACCTGATACTAGTAAAGCGTACCTAATAAAGTGGCCGGTGAGTTTATATAATACACATACATATATTAATTTATGTCAAAAAAACTTTTTTTTGATGCTATTGATCACAATTCATCTGTGCTCAGCACCAGAAAATATAATTTTTCTAATAATTGATTACGCTGATATTATCTATAACAATACCTCTGGTATTAATTTAAAACCTTTAAATACTGTCTTCAATTCTCTGTGTCGATTTGTTTTAAGATGTCCTTATAGAACCCATCATTGTATATTATACAAAACACTTGGTTTGCTTCAACCTAAGATCTGCAGACAGTATCATTGGTATCTGTTTCTTTTTAAATGTGTTTACTTTAATTTCCCTTCTTATTTAAAGCAGTTTTTTGTTCCATTTACATCATCATATTCGTTTCGTCATGTGCAACAGATTATTTTTTGTTCCCAGAATTTCTACAGAAAGGTCCTTTCGATACAAAGCACCTTCTGACTGGAACAATCTCCCTTCGTTTTTTAGATCAATTAAATCACTTCATCTTTCCAGGGCTAATTTATTTTCTCTTCTGGAAACAACTTGCGAATGTTATTACTATTGGCTCCAAATTAAGTGTTTATTATTTATTTGCATATCAAATTGTTTGTACTTTTGATTATATGTTGTTGCTTATTTAGGCTTCCGATTGTGGGAAGTGTTTCAGGTGGAGTGTGCTGCTTGTTTGTTTGTTTGTTTGTCTTGTCAAGTGTATGTATTTTATGATGTGTTGTACTCTGTTTGATTTGTGAACTTTTTAGGGACCCCCTTGAAAATGAGATGATTCATCTCAAGGGGCTATCCCATTTAATAAATTCAAATATGTTTACATTTTGTAGTGGAAATTCTACATCAGGGGTTCTCAATCTCGGTCCTGGAGGTCTGCTGTTCTGCAGATTTTAGCTCCAAATCCCAGTCAGGCACATCTGGGCTAGAAAAATAAGCTCTTCTAGAAAGATCCTTGCAGGCCTCATGTATCAACGCTGTTTACGCACAAAAACTGCATACGACAGGTTTCACGCTCACGTTTGGATTTACTAACAATGAAATTAATGTGAGTGTGCATTGGTCCATGCCAACTTCATGTCTGGTGCACGTGTATTTTTTGTGTGTGTTTGTTTTATTTCAATTGGCGACTCTTAGAGGCAATTATGTTAAATTGCACACTACAAAGTATCGCACCAACACGTGAAAAACATTTAATTTATAATTTGATAAAATAGGTTCATTGACACAATATATATATATATATATATATATATATATATATATATATATATATATATATATATATAATTTTACCAATGTGATTTAGAGCATATAAAAGCATTTGCAAATGTATACAAGATTGAGGAGGCTCCAAGGTGGCAGGGTGCGCGATGCGTGGCTTCTTGGTGAGTGATGTGTATTAAGATATTATTTCAAGTTTTTATTATTACATTTTTTTATGAAGCGTAATTATTTAACTGCATATCAGGAGACCACGTTTATACATTAAAGACGTGGCTGTTAACCCCCCTCAACAACCAACGAACTGACCAAGAGCGCAGATACAATGATGCCCATTCTCACACTCGGTCAGTTGTAGAGCGGGCGATTGGGCAGCTGAAATGACGGTGGCGCTGCCTTGATAAGAGCAGAGGGGTGCTGCTATACCACCCTAACAAAGTGTTCCTCTAATACAGGGGTTCACAAACTTTTTCATTCCAGGACCCACCTAGGCAAATAATTCAAGACCCACCATAATATTTTAATATGGAAAAATGGGTAAAAAATGTATCCATTTAAAGCAGTCAAAAATATATGGTGAGTGGCTTTTTAGATTATGCGATATATGCACAAAATGAGGCTTTAACTGCGATAATTTTTTGTTGACGAAGATACTCTTCTTTTTTTTTTTTTAGAAGAGAAAAGGATCAACCTTTGTTGAAAAATGTTTTGTTGTGTTAATTAGGTTTTAAGGGTTTCATGGTAGCTTTTCTAAGCATAAAAGACAGTTCAGGACTTCCTCACCCTCTGGACCTCTGCAAGCAATAAAACTAAGATCGAGGTAGGACTGATCATATTTTCTGTGTGGCTCCTTTTTATATTTGGTTTGATCTGAAGACATATCAGAAGTCTGCGACGGAAAACAGAATCTCTAAAGAATAGTTTGCTCGTTATCGTACTGGTTTTGATTCACCGCAACGTAAATATAGCTGCGGCTAAGTGACGTTGCGCGACCCATCTTTCCTCACTCTGGGCCACAGTTTGAAAACCCCTGCTCTAATACATCGGTGTCTCCCAAAGACACGGATAATACTCCAGACAGTAAAATGTCGCCCACAATTGAGGCAACTCTTTCCTCAAAGGGTGTTAGTTCAGCATCCCCTGTCCCCCCTGCCTGTTCGGACCACACTTTGACAGTGCACTGCTGTTCTTGTAACCTGCATCTTTACATCGGACTATTTCTTTTTTAATTTGTTCACAATGCGATGTTTAAACCCCACTGTGTTAACCGCATCAGCTAAACTCTCCTATTTTTTTTTTCTTTTGTTATTAATTCCTGAGGACAAACTTGCAAGTAACACAGTTTTTCTCCAGTCTAACTCCGATAGGAGCACCTCCAATTCCAGCCTGATCTCACAAGAAAACGTAAGTATTTTACGTTTTGCCAGTTTAGTGGCTAATTCGTACGAATTCGTACGAATTCAGTCGTACGAAATGGTATGATTTTAAAAAGGAGGCGTGGCACCTGACCCCACCCCTAACCCCAACCGTCATTGGGGGATAAGCAAATCGTACTAAATTGTACGAATTAGATCGTATAAATTCATACGAATTAGCCACTAAATGAAAAAGTTACGAATTGCCGTGAGATTGTTTTGTCCAATTCCCATTCTGTGAAGTTTCTGTTTTTGCTTGCTTTTGCCATGGCTTTTTCGTTTGGTTTTGCCAAAGTGGAGTCATTACCATATTCATTAGGGGGAGGAGGCAGGGAGGAGTTTAGCACTCATGCACATGCTCTCAGTTTCATGTTAATTCGGATGTAAAAAGAGAATACGGGTGGGATTCTGTGTACGCATTGTTTCATACATCTGATTTTATTATTGCGTATGCAAATGTTCAGCTTAGTCTGTACGCAATGTTTTAGTATGAATTCGATGCAAGTCTTTGTACATGAGGCCCCAGACCTCTAGGACCAAGTTCGAGAACCCGTGTTTCTACCCTAAATGTAAATTTTTAGCCATTTAGAGATATTTTGGATCACTTATAAATAAAGTAAAAGTATCATGTGATCAGCATCATAAACAATTTTACTTTGCGTCATCATTCGTGTGTTATCTGCAGCAATACACAAATTCAGTGCATCGTTCACCACATTAAAGCTCAATTCAAACGAGCATCACTTTGAGGAAGCAGAGCAGTTTGAAGTCCACCGTTGCTAGGCTACACGTGCAGCAGCACAACGTTTTGTCAAGCCCTTTGTCAAATTATGCAAGCGTATAAAACATTTGCATGGCCTGCATGCATTTTTATGGGCCCGTTCGGCAGAGTAAAAATCACACATGCACCCAAAATACAATACAGGTTGCACTCACCCAATTCAAGCACAGCAGGATTAATCCTGATCGAAGAGGCCAGAAGGAAGAGCCAGAGTGAGGAAGGCGTCTGAAGTGAGCTCCATACAGGACGAAACATGCTAGCCCTCTTCATTTATGCCTTTCAAGGGAAGATAGTAGTCCATAGCATCATTCCTCATCTGACCAAATGCATTCAGGCACTGCAGAAACAAACAGTTCCAAGTTACTCAACATCCCTAATAATAATTACCAAGATAAACAGTATCATTCAAGTCATGATGTAGCGTAAATTTCCAAACATGTGCTTTGCCTCAAAAACAAAAGCGAGTGTAAATCTTCGAGCACCTCCTCTCCCTTCTTGGCTGTATATTCCTATTTTGGTTGTGTTTCATTACCACTATTATCATCACAGCCAGCCTTTGTGTACTGCAGACCTCTTTACTCTCTTCAATAGGCCGGCCACTTCACACCAAAACGGCAGCAAACCCTCCATTTACTGACCGTCACATGAAAAGAGCAAGGACGCTTTGTACTTAGAGGATCAGTTAGAAAGCTTGTAAGGAAAGGTTTGTGCCTGATCACATAAGCTTTCATTGCCACTGTGGCCATGTAGGGAACTCTACGCTAACGCTTGCCTAATATGGCCGGTGCATTTCAGAAATGACTGATGCTATGATGCTGTAGTGTATGTAAACATGCTGCAGGATGACTTGGTGGTGACTTTAGAAGCTTGTTATAGTGTCATTTGAATTGAATGAACATGCAAAGTGAACATTTGTGAGTCTTAAGTCGCATGCATCATTCATGCAGTATTTAACTGTAATATGAGCTGTGTCTTACTTTAGGACGGTACTGCGGTATGTTACTGTGTTTTAAAGTTGCACTGAGGAAATGACTATGTTTTAGAGTAAAGCTATACCATACTGTAAACACGTATACAGCAAGATAAATGCTGCTGTAAATGTAAATACAGTATTTTTACTGTTATTGATTTACAGTAAGTTACTGTAGATCCTACATAAAAGTGCTAACTGTGGTTGTGTTTCTTGCAATTTCTAAAAATATAATATGTGTGTCAAACAATCCTGTTGTCTCGGCTGAGTCAGTTGGCATTTCTGTGTGGAGTTTGCATGTTCTCCCTGTGTTGCCGTGGGTTTCCTCCGGATGCTTCTGTTTCCCCCCACTGTCTAAAGACATGCTATAGGTGAATTGAATAAACTAAATTGGCCGTAGAGTATGAGTGTGAATGAGAGTGTATGGGTGTTTCCCAGTACTGGGTTGCAACTGGAAGGGGAGCCACTGCGTAAAATATATGATGGAACAGTTCATTCCGCTGTGGCAACCCCTGATAAATAAGAGACTAAGCCGAAGGTAAATTAATGAATGTTGCATGCTCGACGTTTTTTTTTTCCCGTAAATTGCACAGTATTTAACTGTAATATGAGCTGTGTTTTACAGTAGGATAGTAATGCGGTATGCTACTGTAATTAAGAGTTATACTATGGAAATTACTGTATGCTTTACAATAAAGATATACTGTACTGTAAATACACAGCAAGATTAATGGTGCTGTAAATGTAAATACAGTATATTTGCTGTAATTGATGTACTGTAACTTACTGTAGATCCCATACAGGAAAGTGTTTGCAATATGTGTGTATTTTTGGCAATATCTAAAAATATATTATATAGTTCAATAAGGTCGATAGATTTGTCTTTTATGCCCCAAATCATTAGAATTATTAGAAGTAACGATCATGATCTTTGTGGATATTTTGTAAATTTCCTATAGCATAAATATTCATTCATTCAGTCATTCTTTTATATTCCTTCGGCTCATTCCCTTCATTTATCAGAGGATTTATCAGCGGAATGAATCGCCAACTTATCCAGCAAATGTTTTATGCAGCAGATGCCCTTCCAGCCACAACCCAGCACTGGAAAACACCCATACACATTCACACACACTCATACACTACGGCCAATTTAGTTCATTCAATTTAAAGCGCATGTCTTTGGACTGAGGGTGAAACTGGAGCACTCGGAGGGAACCCACGCCAACAAGGGCAAAACATGCAAACTCCACACAGAAATGCCAACTGGCCCAGCCGGGACTCGAACCAGCGAACTTCTTGCTGTGAGGTGACAGTGCTAATCACTGAGCCACTGTGCTGCCTTAGAATAACTATGTCAAATCCTAATTCGTCTTAAATCCTAAGCACTTTATTTAGATGTTAATCCTCAAACTTCAGATTTTAAAATTATTGTATATTGTCCTATCCTAAAAAGCCATACACCATAAACCACAGCATTCAGATTCCGCGAAAATCTAAATTGAAAAAATGTACATTGATTTTAAACCAAAATCGAAAATTCAGCCAAAATCTCGTTTTTTCGTGTGTTTCTTGTGAGCAAAAGAAAAAACGAAAAACGTCCGTTTTCTAAGTTTTCTTTTTTTTCCTTTTGTTTGATTTAAATAGAGAGAGAAACGTATTTATCAAATGCATTTTTAAAAGCTATTTTAATTGTGCATTTAAATGCATTTAAAATGATCTATAAATTTACTTATTTTTGAATTAAAGGAATATTTATAAAATTGTCTATTATTTTTTTTACATTTAAAAGTTATTTTTAAGTGCAATGTTTTATTGTTCAATAAAATGACATTTAAAAACAATTTAAATAAGCACATTAAAATATCCCTATTTATTTGTCCATTATTTGTTCATTTAAATTTTGATTTATAATTATGCATTCTAAGCTTCAATCATCATTAGGTTATATATCATTAAATTGATCATTTGATTCTTACTTTTTTCTAACCAGCATCTAACCAGCTAGTCCTCCATAGTTTAACTATCCCTTTAAAAATTAAGTAATTTTTATTTATTTATTTTTTACTTTTACTAAGGCATATTTTTGGCCATTTTTGAACTTAATCGAGTCAATTTTGAGTATTTACTTATTTGCAACTGATATTCATCGTAATGCATTACTTTACTACAGCAATTCACATGTAAAACTGTTTGTTTTTAGTGGCTAAATTCAAATCAAATACCACCAAACTTCTTGTAATAAATATTGGAGAAAATCGTTATTTGTCTTTTATGTCAATAGGCTAACAGATAAAAGCATTTGCATGTTTGTGGAAACAGATCATATGACTTTTACAAAAACCTACTTTCCAACATTCTTTAATTTTGTGTTCAACCCAAAAAAAGAAGCTCAGGTTTAGAACTATCCCTTTAAAACTTAAGTACAATTTTTTTCTTTTACTCAGGCATATTTTTGGCCATTCTTGAACTTAATCGAGTCAACTTTGAGTATTTACTAATTTGCAACAAGGATACTCATCGTAATGCATTACTTTGCTACAGCAATTCACATGTAAAACTGTTTAGCTGTTTTTAGAGGCTAAATTCAAATCAAATTCCACCAAACTTATCACTAAAACAGATCATATTACTTTTTACAAAAACTACTTTCCAACATTCTTCAAAATATCATCTTTCCTATTTAACCCCCCCCCCCAAAAAAGCTCAGGTTTAAAACTATGCCTCTAAAACTTAAGTACAATTGTTTACTTTTACTCAGGAATATTTTTGCCCATTCTTGAACTTAAGTCAGTCAAATTGTCCCTCAATATCTGTACTTGAGTGTCATTTTGGAGTACTTTTGACACCCCTGTGGAGTAGGGATATGAGAGGACAAGCGAAGCCCCTTGAGCCTCATGCTGACTCATCTGGCCTGGGCTGCAGGCAGCAGGTGGGTGAGCTAATGGGATCTGATGCCAGGAGACGGGGGGGTGTTTTCTTTGGCCGAACAACACCCCATTAAATGAAGAAGCAGTTTAGCAATTCATTAAAATATTGAATATTTGACCCCTTTACAAATACAATCTAAGCACTCCAGCGAAGCAGGAGAATGCTAATTTGCCTAGCATTAGCCATGTGAGGCTGACGGTAAATAAACAAACTTTGGGAGAACATTTATTTACATCCAGGCTATACCTAACATTGACAGGCCCTGATTTACCTTTACAGCCATTAATATTTAATACTTTTGAACAATTTTTTTACCCATATCAGCAGTAGTTTACATCACTCTTTTGCAATTAAATCCTAATCTAATTGTGACAAGCTATATATTATCATTGAAAAGGTTTAAGACTACTGAATACAAATTTTACCCTCAGGAACTGTGATAGATTAAAACACATTTACTATCAACCTGTGGAGGCGTTTGCTGTTTCATATTTGAACCATAATATTGTAGTTTAAACATAAATCAATCATGACAAACTATATATCATCTGAAAGCTTAATATGTCCATATCTGGTTTTAGTTTCCATATTTGAAATTTTTGACATATAACTGAGCAAGAGTTATTTATTAACTTGCAACAAGGATGCTCATCAGAGTCGTAATGCATTACTTTGCTACAGCAATTTACAAGTAAAAATTGTTTGGATGTTTTAGATGTTTTAAGAGGATAAATTAAAATCAAATACCCAAAAACTTTCCGTAATAATTTTGAATTTTATGTCTACATAAATATTGTCAGAAGTATGGAAAAATATTATTCATATTCCTCACAACATAGGGGGCACTCTTCTATAGTCATCAATGGAAACTGGATGTAATCCAGTGGTAATGTTTTGAACTGCAATCAAACAAAATAATACTGAAAGCTCAGTTTTTTAGATATCAACTTCAAGTTTGAAATATTAATATTTATTTGGATGTATAGCTTTGTTTTTCTGTCAATTTTAGGCTAAAACTGCTTTGCAAAAAATGTATTTTTTGTAAAAAATAAATGTATTGTTTTGTTATTTTCATAAACATAAAGGGCTCCATTTTAACGATGTAACTGCAAAGCACATGGCACAAAAGCATTAAGGGTGTGTCTGAATACACTTTTGCTTTTTTTAAGGATGGAAAAATACATTCTGGGCCCAGGCGCATGGTCTAACAGGGATGTGCTTATTCTCTTAATGAGTTATGGGTGTGTTTTGAGCATAACCTGCATTAAACCAATCAGAGTCTCATCTGAAGTTGCCTTTAAGAGTCAGTTGCGTCGCACCAAGGAGCATTTGCTATTTACATGGCAGGCTTTGT